TCTTTTAAGATCTATCCTTTCATTGTTCTGTTCTTATTTTTCATTTAATATTCTTATAAATTAGTTTTTCGCAATTTTCTTCGTTACTTGACGCGGCTGTAATTATTCTCTTCATTCTGGGAGATCTTGCCATGACTGCTCGCTAGCGTTCGCGGCTGGTCCGTTTGGGTCCCTGATTCCTTCGCTCGCGCTTCCTTTCTTCGCCTCCGCACTAGTCGAGATCCGATCTTTCGAAATTTGGATTTTTTTGAGAATTGTAGCCACCCCCCAAGCCCGCACCGCCCCTCCGGGCACCGCCACCCGGCAAAAAACCTGCCACGCGTCCGAGCCGGCGCGTGATCGGGGAATGCAAGATGCGACTGCGTGAAGGAGCAGAGACTTTGATGAATGCTCGTTAGGATAGTTAACACGGCTTCTACCTGCGGTACGAATCCCAGGAGTCCCGCTACGGAAATCCTTCAAGGATCAGAGGGATTTAGCCATGCTGGTATTGATTGTATGATTAGTAGGATTAGGTTTCAGGATTAGCAATCACGTTATGTTAGGGATCAGTAGCGTGTGTTCTGTGGATAGTACGGACATGTAATCTCATTATGAGGACACCCCATGCGATAAACAACAATCGGCTATGCTAGCCAAAGTTGTCATTTAAACTTATAGCAGTGTATATCAGTTATATACAGGGTGATCGGCTACCTCTAGGCCAAGTGTCAGATCCAGCTTATCTGACCAGTGATCCATCTAGCACAGATATAGCGACAGTGTCATCCACAGCTACCTCGACAGTGATCGTACTACGCTCTACTAGCAGTGTCCATATCACTGAGTGTCATCAGTCGTTCATCTAGCTACGATCGACCGTGTCATCAACCTAACTACCATTGATCGTGCAGCATCTCCAGCTAACATTAGCATGTGCCACTCTAGCTATGTCGCCAAGCTGCATCTAGCACTATGTCTAGCAATGCTATTGCCTATGTAGCCAGATGCAGATCTAGCTACACCCGTATCAGCTGTCCTGTCCTAGCTACATGACAAGCTCTCGTATCTAACTACGATGATAGATGCCTCTAGCTATGTGAGCAGTGCCGTATCTAGTAAAGTATCGCCGCGTGTCATCTCCGCCTCTCGACAGCGCATCTATGTACTGCCGCAAGACGCTGCGCAATCCTGTGCTGCCGTCGTGCCGGGCTGTATGTGGCTCACAAGGAGAGCAGGGCGTTGCGGGAGTCTGGCAGCGCCTGTCACGGACCTCTGTCGGACACCGTCGAGACTCCAAACAGCGGCAGGTCGCTGCCTCAACTGCGCGCACGCTGGACGGACCATAGACGCCGGATCTCGGACGCCTTACGTGGGCGCTGCAGCCGGCCGCTGTACCGGCGCCCGCGCGGGCACGCCCGCGACTCGAGGCGTTGCCACGCGCGCGCGTTACACGCGCAGCCTGCGACGCGTCCGGCTGCCCGCGGCAGCGAGGTCGACTAGACGACTGTTGCCCGCTGTCTGCCGGACGGGCGCCGCCTTCCTGCGCACGTGACGCAGCGCTGCGCTCGCTCGCGCGGTCGAGCCGGCGCGGCCGGCAGCCGAGACGCCGCCGCTCCGCGCTAGACGAGCGCGCATGCCGACGACCGTTGCGGAGACACGCGACCGGCGTGTGTATGTGTGCTGCCGTGCGCGGTGGGCCGTTCCCGCGGCGAACACAGCCGCGTACCCGCTGTCGCGCGGCGCAGCGGGGGGGTGGAAGCACGGACATCGCAACTGCCTGAAGGCGATCGCGGCGCCAAGCGTGCCGCAGGCTGTCCGCCGAGATGGCGGGCGCTGACCGCGCGAACTCACCCTGCCCGCGCGGACGACCACTCACGGGCGCTTGCTTGGTTCGGCCTACGGAGCCGCTGAGTCGCGTCTCGTCCGCGCCGCGACTCGGTAGCGGGGCGACCTCCCGCGCACGCGAGACGCGCATCAGGTCGTCACGGCCGCTAATTCGTGTCCCTGTCTCAACATCACACGTACTACTACAGCCGGATCACGCAAAACGTCAACGCCGCTCCGAGGCTGTGATCCCGCGGCTTGGTCAAGAGTGATTAGTCGTTCAACCATCCGCTAGAGGTGCGATGCAAGAGGAAGAGTGATTAGCAGTTAGCTTAGAGGATGTGATGCGAGAGAAGAGTTTGATGAGTCTAGATGTATATGGTGACTGTGAGGTGCTGATGCGAGGGAGAGTGATAGCAGGTTAGACTCGTGTAGGTGCTGGACGGTGTGATGCGGCAGGGGAAGACGGATTAGCAGTTGTCAGATGTCTAGCGAATGCGGGCGAGGTGTGATGGTGAGAGGAAGAGTACATCCGATAGCCGTTATGATTGTCACCAACGCTGGGAGCATACGAGCGGGCGTCTGTGAGAGAACAGAGTAGCGTTGATGTCACCAAGGCTGACGAGCTACGAATGCGGGGAGAGACGAGATAGCGGTTAGAAGTGTTGGTGATCGCTGCGAGGGGATAGCGGCGCAGGGAGAGTCGATAGCAGTTAGCTAGAGGTGGGGATGCGACGGAAGGAGTGCATAGTCAGTTGGACCGCTGTAGTCCGGTGCGATGCGAGGGAAGAGTGATAGCAGTTCAGAAGATCTAGAGTTGCTGTAGGTGGGGATCAGTGAGGAGCGTGATAGCAGTTAGCATCGAGGATGCTGGTAGGCGCGATTGCGAGGAGAGTGGTAGCAGTAAGAACGAGGATGCTGTTTGCTAGGTTGCGATGCGAGTGGGGAGAGTGATAGCAGTTAGACACGAGGATGGATGTGGTGCGATGGCAGATAGGGAATGGTGATAGCAGTTAAACATCGAGGTGCTGTAGGTGCGATGCGAGGGAAGAGTGATAGCAGTTAACATCGAGGCATGGTTGTAAGGTGCAAGTGCGAGGGAGGAGTGATAGCGGTTTTAGGCATCGAGGCTGCTTGTAGAGTGCGAGGGAGGGATAGGGAGTAGATAGGCAGTTAGACATAGAGGATGCTTAGGCGCGATGCGAGGGAAAGAGTGGATAGCAGGTTAACATCACGAGGATTGTGTAGCGCGCTTAGATGCGAAGGCGAAGGAGTTGATTGCAGTTAGACATTCGCAGCGGTGCTGTGGGCCGTGCGAGTGGGAAGAGTGATAGTAGTTAACATCGAGGATGCTGGTAGGCGCGATAGCGACGGGGGAAGAGTGATAGCGTTTAGACACTTCGGGATTGCTGTAGGTGCGTCGCGCCGGGAGAGTGATAAGCGCAGATTAAACATCGAGGGATGCTTGTAGGTGCGATCGAGGAGAGTGATTAGCAGTATAGCACGAGGATGGGTATGGTGCGATGCGAGGGAGAGTGATAAGCAGTTAGACATCGAGGGATGCTGTAGGCGGATGCGAGGGATAGAGGTCAATGATAGCATTTACTCTGAGGATGTGTAGCGCGCTATGCGCAGACTGGCAGGGAGACAGAAGGTTTTATTAAATTCTTTACCTAATAAAGGCATTAGACGTAAGGATATGAGTGATTGAATCAGCAAGGCATTTGCTGTAGTAGCTGCTAGATTAGCAATATGAATTGCAATATGAATTGTAAACTACTAAATTTTAAATGGAACTCTTATAAGTGTACCCATCTTAGAGGTATCAGCAGAGGTTGGTAGGTCTGAGAGTGTGAGTATACAATTACATTTAATCTAATAAATAATTAATTGTAATAGGCTGACTAATATTTGGCGTCCTTTATTTGTAATATATCAGTATATTTGTAGTGTGAATATCAAAGACAATGATGCAAAGCCTATGTATGTGTTAGAATCGTGTATTGGACATGCGAGGTATTAGGACATCGAGGATGCTGTAGGTGCTGATTCAGCCATATACCTGGTATGGGCTCGGTTTAATCCAGATGCGTGCATAGCTAGTTAGCCGTCTACTGCGGAAGGAAGGTTCTGCTGTTAGGTGCGATGCGAGAGCGTTTTCGAGGGCAATGGTCACTTTATTTCGATCCTAGAGCCGTGAGAATTAGACTATCTCGATAAGGTACTGCTGAATAAGCAGTGTATGGCTTTGGTTATGGATAAGAATGAGCGAAGGGTTGGATGCTCTCTAGTACTTAATAGTTAGCAGCTATATGTGCACCCTCCTGGCAGGTTTGTGCATGTTATATGAGATTAGATCGTGTGTCTTTGGGCTAAGTAGGGTGTTAGCAAGTGGATCGGGTATTAAGACATGCTATTTAGAACACAGACATTGGCTGTGGATCTAGTGGCTGATCGCAATGGTACGTGATAAGGTGATAGTGGGTATAGTACAGCTTAGATAACCCGAGTAGGTGCTGTAGGTGCGATGGCGAGGTGGCTCGCCGAGAAGCTGTGTGTTCATGCGTGTACCGACTCACGCAGAAAACGCATATGCCGTGGTAGTAAGGTAATGCGTATAGACTCGGTAATGTTCTAGTTTACAGGGCAAGAGAATGTAGCATTAGATATCGAGGTGTACACTGCTGTATAGGCTGCGTAATCTGGTATACAATAGAGTAATAGAGGTGCAGATGACATGTTCACCGTGGTGTGATAGAGAGGTGAGGGGTATTTTAGCGAAGGTATATTATGGGGAACTCCCTTATTATAGGTATCTCCCATTATATCTCTATAGATATTTGCATAAGTTTTGATGCGGAATCATGTTTTCAGATGTGAAAGTCTGAAATTTGATTTGGTTTTGATGATCCTTGATCGACATTTTTGGTTTATCGAATTCGCAATACAGACATTATTATATTCACAGTCAATTTACTCGGAGTTAACGAGAATCTAAACACAATGTTACACGTATTAGGTGATGATATGTGAGTTGTTTGAAGGTTAGACGAAGATAGTGAATGGACATTGTCATCTCTCTCGCATAGGAGTAACAATGGTTTGGGGCTTGCTTACATTCAAGTTAGCCAACAGTTAACAAAATCGATGATTTAGTGGTCATGTTCTTTTGCCAAAA